GAAGTGAATAGAACTGGGGGACAGGGTGCCCCAGGATGCTGCCTTATATACATGAGGGAAAACCCCCCAGGGACCGGTAATGGACCCCTGGTACCTAGCTAGATAAGGATTACTAAGTATCATGTGCTCTATGATGTCATATATGATGTCATAGTCTGGCCCTGCCCTGCCCTAGGCCTAGGGTCCAGAATTGACCGGCCTATGGCCTAGTGCCTGAGCCTAGCTCCTACCTATGATGTCAGAATGATGTCATGGTCCAGACAGAGTCTGGTTTCTATCTAGAAAAGGTCCGGCATCAGAGTCCAGCCTGATGTGTCCAGAACAAGATCATGTGTCGCTTATTTAAGCGGATAACCCCTTAGATATGCAGCTGTACCCATATGCGGACAGATAAGTATGGATAAGTCCCTATACCCTTTGATATGTCTGCAGAAATAGCGGAAAAATTAGGTAAAATTAGGGAAACTGTGACAGTACCCCCGCCTCTAGCTTCGAGCTCCGTTTGAGAAGTTTCGACCATTTGACCAGTGAAGTGCCTTTACGCGTTGGTAATCTCGAGATCACAATCGGCTATACGCTCAATAATGAGCTGAGCAATGGGGTCGCCTTTGGCGATCTTCAGCTTGGATGGTCCCGTGTTGGTAACAACAACCTTGACTTCGGCTGGGTCACCCCGCTCGATAATGCCTTCGATTGCTCGGATTCCTTTGGCTAATGGATTCCCTACTGGGGTAATTCTCCCGTAGGTGCCAACTGGTAGTTGTATCTGGATTCCTGTCGGAATTTGCAGTGTTGTGTTACTGGCGACTTCCTGGTTTTGACTCGCATACAGTTCAAAGCCTGCTGCTGTATCAGTCTTTCTCTTGGGTTCCTGACCTCCTCGTAGCTCAACTCGAAGTGTTGCATCCCTTTTCAGGAGAGCAAACACCTTGTCATCATTATCATTGAGTGACCTGATTGCATGCGGGTGCGCATCGTGATATTCCTTGATGAGTTCCTTCGAGCCTTTGAGGTTCGCAACTGGTTCCCATGTATCCTCATCGGGAGTGGTATTCTTCCATCGTACGAGGTACTGAAGCTTGCGGTAGTGCCGGCGAGAGGATAGGATCTTCTCCACTTCCCATTCTTCATGGCCATCAATGATAACCGGCTTTGCAGCTGGTCCTTTCTGGCCTGGGATTTCCGCCTCGTGGTAGGGTATAAGCTTACTGGCGTGGAAGACCGGATGTAATTTGGTCAACCTCGGTGGCCATTTCAGTCTGAAGGTGACTGGAGAGAGTTTTTCAACAATCTCAAAAGGCCCCGAATACCGTGCGTTGAGTTTTCGACCGGTGGTTTGATAGTCTCTGAGGTCGAGTAAGACCTTGTCGCCCACCTTGAAGGGGACTTTCTGGACTCCTTGGTCGTAATACCACTTCATACGCTCAGCTGCCAGTTTGAGAGCGGCTTTCGCCTGTTCCTGCGCTTGTTGTCGGTTCCAAACAATGTCATTGAGGTCGCTTCTTTGCACCTTCTTTGTAAGTGTTGAACCTGCCCGTGGATGTCTGCCGTATTCCAAAAAGAATGGTGTCTCCTTGGTGCCCTCATGTGCTGCATTGTTGTAGGCAAACTCAGCAGAGCTAAGTAGCCTTGACCAGTCGTCGAGTTGATAGTCGATGTAACAGTGAAGATATTGCTCCAGAACTTGGTTGACTCTTTCAGTCTGGCCATCAGTCTGTGGGTGGTACGTGGTGGACATGGTGGACTCTATCCCTAGTAGCTTACACCATTCCTGGAACAGTGTAGCTGCAAACTGAACACCTCGGTCGGATATAATCTGGGATGGTAAGCCGTGAAGCGGATACACCCGATTGTATAGCAATTCTGCTAGATCCTTTGCTGAGAACTCGTTTGTTATTGGGTAGAAGTGAGCCCGCTTTGTCAATCGATCCATGACTACGCAAATGGCATCATAACCATCTGATTCTGGGAGCTGAGTGATGAGGTCGACAGTCATAACTTCCCATGGCCCTTCCGGGACACGGTTGGGTTGCAATGGTCCATACGGCTGCTGCGGACGATTCTTCATCCGTTGACAAATGTCGCAGCCGGTCACATACTTCTTGACAAATACCGACATGCTAGGCCACCAATAGTTGTGTGAGACGAGTTCATATGTCTTCCACCTTCCGCGATGTCCAGCTGAAGGAAGATCATGATGCATTTGAACTATACACCTGCGCAAGTGGTCCTGCTCGCTGTTGGGGATATATACTTTGCCGCAATAAAGCAACAATCCATTCTCATAGTTCCAGTCCACAAGGGACTTGCTGAATTCTCTAGGACCTGACTTTAGCAATTGCTGATAGTTCTTGGTCACATCGTCATGTAGGAGTGCTTCCTTCACTTCCCTCAGGAGTTGATCGTCATTAACGGGCGACTCATGGGAGGCCTCGACTGCATTGATTGCAAAAAACTCCGGTTTCAACAAAGTTTGATCCCGATTATCGAGGTTCACCCCCTCCTCATGGTCTGGCCTCCTGGACAGAGGGTCAGCGGTAAGCATTGTTTTTCCTGGCTTATGGCGCAAAATAAAATTGAATCGCGTGAGGTACAGAGCCCATCTCGCTTGTCTCCTGGTCAACTTCTGGGCGGTCTTGAAGTAAGTCAGATTAAGATGATCCGACAGATCTCGAATTTGCCGGATGTCCCTCAAATAATG